ACAACGACGAGTGTTTGCTGAATGTTCGATATTTCTTTGAGAACGAAGTTACTTACTTACTCCGTGGCGTTACAACCCTTCGTGGGTTTTAGCCGACTCGACAACATGCCTCCACTGTTTTCTGTCTAGAGCAACCTCCATCCAATTCTCCACGCCCATAGTGCTTAGGTCTCCTGCCATATTATCTCACCACCGGAGATGAGGGCGTCCGCGTGGCCTCCTTCCAGTTGGGACTTCCTCCCACACCAGTCTTACTGTTCGTTCGTCAGAATGGCTTCTGAGGTATCTTGCCCATTGGAGTCTTCTGGACTTTATTTCTTTTATGATGTTCTTTGAGGTCTTTGTTAGTTCTTATCCTATATTGTCCTGATGCTTCATCCAGCACAGAACCAAAGATTTTACTTAGGATTTTTCTTGCCCAAACACATAGTCTCCCTTCGTTTGCTTTTGTTATCGCCCACGTTTCGCTTCCATACATCACAACGGTCGTATGATTGTTTTATAGACCTGTATCTTCGTACGTCTTGTTAGTTGTTTCGATTTAAGGTTTTGGATGGCAAAAAGACATCTGTTGACATTCTGACCGATTCTGTCCCTACTTTGGTTATTGCGGCTCATACATTTATATCTTGTCTTGTTTTCGTTGACTTGGAGCTCCATCTTTTCTGTTTCCTTCTCGAACCACAAGTAAGTCTCTTCATCCTTAATCGTGTGTTTCCTATTACATCGATATCGTCTGCAAATACCAGTAGTAAGTTTGGTCCTTCTCGATGAAATACTGTATTCGGTATTTCGATTCTTGCACTTCTGATTATGTGCTCCAGAGCTAAGTTGAAGAGTTGTGGTGAAAGTGCATCTCCCTGTTTTAGTCCATTGTTTATTTCAAATGTCTCCGAGTATTGTTGTCCAACTCTTACCTTATATCGTAACCGTTCTATCCACATCCGTATCAACCTGACTAGTTTTTTTGGAAAGCCAAGTGCCTGCATCGCTGTCCACAGTCTGGACCTGCCGACTCTATCAGATGTTTGTTTGAGAACGACGTTGTTATTAGGCTATTATCGTCAATGGCGCGTGCTGTAGGTGGATGATTACCAACTTCTTCTGCCCTGAAATTGATGATATGGACTTAGGGACTTATGTCACATTGGACATTCTGCACGAGAGATTTGAAGCGATGATCATTTCACATGGAGTTAATGCGAACTGGCCACCGAGAGTATGCGATTGGACTTCGATAGACTCTATCTTGTGGTATTTTCTCTAGTCGTAGGTATAGGCATATATGAATAAGCCACAAACCACAGCGGTAATCAAAGCCAAAACATGATGGCATCGTGAGGGCTTCAAACGAGTTAAAATTTCGATGATATCTTACACCTACTTTATTCTATTTAATTTTAACGATAGTATGCACTTAATTAAAGACCCCGTACATATTACATATAGATATAAAAACTTTGCATGTCTTGTGATAATCGGGCATATCTGTTTACTTAAAAATTTCTCGAACAACCCTCGTACCTGCGACATTAAAAAGAGCTTTTCCACCATAAGAACCTAACGACCGAAACAAACTATTTTTGGGGACGGCGGAGGATGGAAGGAAGCTATTATTTTTAATTCTGTTCTGATCGTTTTATTGCAAAAGATCTTGAGGATTCGAGACCTTAAGTGAAACGAGAAAGAAACACTAATAAACTGTCTGCTATGGAAAGTAATACGCTTACTTTTGGTCTATTTTAAGAGGTTTTTTGTTTCCGAGCGATGGATAAAACGGGCAATTTGTTAGTCTTGAAGTTTTATAGAAGTTTTTGTACTATTTGGGGTACTAGCTGTAATAAAAATTCAGTATGATTTAAAAAAGTGTTTTCAACTATAATGAATTTTGCAGCGTTTTTTTACATACAGTGTTGATAATAGTAATGCATGGAGCACGCATATTATAATACATACTATATGTCGAAACAGCTAACAGCACAATTATTTTACTAAATTTTTGATTGGCTCATAGTTAATGATCATGCTAAATTATTAATATTTGTAAAATTTATTTTTATTTTCTTCATATTCATATTATGTTTAATTTAACAAAATATTTAAGTACCACTCAGAGACAGCGGTTGACTTTCATCCTCCATATTATTTAAGTCTAGCAATGTATGTACTCGTATCCATTAGAATGGATGTCGAAGTAAATACTCCAGTTGTCAGAGATGAAAATACCATTCAACCTCTAAAAATTATGTCAACAAGCTGAATTTTGCCGAAAATACCAATTTTGGGACCCCAAAAAGATGCAAAAAAGTTTACCACTTATACCCCTGGGCTTCCTCCTAAAACCCCCCTCAAAGGTTGGTGAAAACGCAAAAAAAATTGATTTATCAAGAAAACGCAGTAGAAAAAAATTTTCTGTACGCTGTAGAAAAAAATGTTTCGAATAAAAAACATTTCTTAGATAATTTTAAAAAAATTGATTATTATCACTTTTTGTGTAGATCGAACCGTTCTCTCAGAAACAACGCTTGAAGCGACCGTCGATTTTGAATGTCAGGTACGTGCGCGAAATAAAATTTGTATCAGTTCGACGGTAAAAATTCGATAATATCTTTTGATCCATGTGTTTTATCTACAAACGTCAATATGCGTTTAAAAGGTGAAGAGTGCAGCTTTCGTAAGCAATTTTTGCATTTTACCGCGAATAAACTTAGTTTTTATAAATGTGTTACATAAATAAACGTGACGCGTTTCCAAAATTTGAAAATTTTTGGAAACATTTTGTACCTGTAGGAGTTACTACTTATATCATTTGTTGACTGAAATTATTACAAAATTTACGACAAGAATTGAAATAAATTGATATAATTTCCGTAATTGTTTTATGATGTTATATTGGGTTTTATTTCACGTGTAATAAAATTGGCTTTAAAAAGAAAGAGAAAGCCAATGAATATCACTTGAACTTATACATTGGCTTCGTTGATTATAAAAAGGCATTCGACTCCATAGAACTTTGGGCAATAGAGAGAGCTATAAACAACTGCATGATAGATTCTGATACAAAATGGATGATATCAAAAATAGATGCGAAAACCAAAGCTATACCAATCAACAGAGGAGTTCGCCAGGGAGACGTTTATCTCACCAAAGCTATTCACACTGGGACTGGAAGACCTGTTCAAAGAAAGTAACTGGGCAGATAAAGAAATAAATGTTAATGGAAGATAACTGAGTCATTTGAGATACGCTGATGAGAGATACGCTGATGACATTATAATATTAGCTACACGTTTCGAAGAACTACAGACCATGATGACGCAACTATTTCAAGCTTCGGAAAAAGTAGGTTTAAAGATGAACTTGGAAAAAACAAAAATAATGACAAATACACCGAAAATTAGAGAAATAACGTTGTACGAACCCAAATTTGCTTGGTACAAGTCATTTAGAGCTTTTAGGAGGCACACAACATCCATTATTAGAATACGTTTCGGACACGCATGCTATCCAAAGCACTTATTTAAAATAAAGGTTTTGGATGATGACAAATGTGAGCATTGTGGAGAGGAAAGTGATTTAGATCATATATTTTTTGGTTGTTCTAAAAATAGAGTATACACATCCAACCTTATAAATGATTTATTAAAATATAAAATAGCAGCTCCTTGGAATATGATACATTTATTATCACTTGGCTCTGTAGATATTTACAACTCTTTAATAAATTTTTTTAAAGACAAATTATCATTATAATTCTCTAAAAATTATTTAGTTAATCTTGTTACCTTTGTTTTTAAACCATTATTATAACTTCCTCCTCTCCGTGATCTAGTGTTGTGTCTTATATAATATCAATGCCTTGATAGGTCCCTGGGCGAGAAGAGTGTGTTCTCTGTCCCTATTCTCCTAATATCGATGTAATCTTTTATTTTGATAGGGCATTTAGGTAAATAATTTTAATGATGACTGTCTTAGTCCTTTCGTGTCTGGCTGTATGACGATAGTCTAAGCCAAAAAAAAAACGTTGTATGACATAAATTTAGAAACGTAACGAGTAAACGAGTAAGCGAATACATCTACCTGGGACAGATAATGAAAGTTAACAAATGGAATCAAACTACCAAAATTACCAGAAGAATGCGGTTAGCGTGGGTAGGGTTTGAAAACTGAGTTGGATCTTGAAAAACACCAACAGAACAATCTCGGGGTGAGACTTATAGTCAAAAAAAAAAAAACAATTGGATGAGAAGCAAAACCAAAGTAAAAGACACAGGAGAGCAGGCTGCTAAATTAAAATGGATCTTCGCAGGACACAATTCTCGATTGAAGGATAAAAGATGGAACCACAAAATACAACAATGGAGACCATGGCTAGGAAAGAGAAGCAGACTAAGACCACAAATGAGATGGGCGGATGGCATTAAGAAGATCGGAGGACACAACTGAAGCAAAATAGAAACCACTGGATTGATTTGAGGGAGGCCTATGTCCAAAAAGTTGAGTTAGGTTAGGTTAACTAAAGGCTAAAGAGAGAGAGAGAGAGAGATAGAGAGAGATAGAGCAATCAAATTTGTGCTATCAATCATTTTCTAATATTCTATAGTTTTGTACGGCATGTGTGTGTCAAACTTATAAAAAACCAAAACTGAAACACCTACAGAAAAACTGATGATAGATTTGAATTAAGCATTAAAAATTATAGAGAAAAAAAGTTGTAAAATGGGAGGTTTTTAGTTATAGTTTGTACAAAACTTTAAACACGTATCTGCTTTTTATGGTTCACTTACTTTTTTATAATACTTGGCTCAATATTGGGGTTTTTACGACGCATAACCTCTCAATATTTCAATTCCTTTATTTGTACTTTATACCCAAAGTGATTGTATTTTTGAAATCTCTACCAGTTAGACTTTTAAAATGCAAAAAACTAAAGTTTCTATTGTTTAAAAATCACAATAGGTATGAGTAAAATTTTACTGATAATGTATATATTTTTTTTTAGGTACGAATAATGGAACAGAAGCTGGCGTGGTCTGTGCAGAGTGACTCCAACAGCGCTCAGATCAACCGGCTAGAGGGAGAAGTTGAGGAGCAACGACAGCTGCGCTTGCACGACGCCAAACAGGTCGAGGCCAAGGCTGCTCGCATTAAAGAGTGGGTGACGAACAAACTCAAGGAGTTGGAGATCCAGAACCAAACCTTGCGAGAGCAGAACATCAAATGCAACCAGCAGCTCGAACTACTGAGGAATCATCTCGCCCTGACTGAAAGGAGACGATCAGAGAGCAGTTCGCCGGAAGGGAGACAGGTATAGAAATTTTTTTTACCTAAATTTAAGAGATTCGAGTTACATCAAAGAAAAAATTTACTTTTCAAAACTACTTGCTGTATCAAAATTATACTGTCATCGAGATGTAGGTGATCCGATATGCTGGAGTATCATTCTCTTCCGCTTTTTACAGTTTCTTATAGATTTATTAACTAAAACCCAACTGTTTGATATTCTTTAAGAAGCTCAATACTAGTAATTAAGGAAATCATAGAGATCCTATAGGCAGATTACATGCTCAATTCCGTGGCTCTCTGGTAAAAGGGCATATCTATGCAAAATGAAATTGTTCCAAAGACGAAATTGAAAGTTCAAACATTTTTCTAAAATCAAATGTGTTACTTTAGCTATTGTTTTGCACATTATAATGAAAGAGAATCTAACAAGCAAACTTTTGCTGTATATTAACAATTTATACATTATTCTAATTTGAAGTTATTAGTAGTTTTCTTCATCAAGGTACTCAGATAATATCAGTAAATGTTATTATGTATGACATATTGTACTACCTTAATGCTAAAAGGCTTCTTCTTCTTCTTCTTCGTCTAGCCATTCACGTCCACATCTGAACATAAGCCTCTTAAAGTCTTCCTTTTCATTGGTTTTTATTGTATGCTACTTGTAGCCAATTTTTCCAAAGGCTTAAAACAAGCTAATTTAGCATTAATGGTTTCTATTGTAATCAATAATAGAAAAGAAGGTGAATATTGAAATTAAATTATTGTGCGCTGCAGAAATTGGTCATTCATCACTTTCCTCCATTCAGTAAGACGTCTTCAACGGTTTCATCAGATGGAATAGACCTATATAGTAGTCGTGGAAGACATCGGGTATTAGCGGCAGCATGTCAATGAGATCATTTTTCTTATTCACTGAGATTGCAAAAGGACAACCGTAGGAGAGTTAAGGGTTCAGTTTATTGCCTTGAACGACGAATCCGGATCCACTGTATTCTTGTAAAGGACTTTTCCTGTCTCTTTTATGTAACGAAGCCACTTTATGTTCCTCCATGTAACTTTTTCCCCGTCGTCGTTTACTTTTTTATTTTGAAGTGCCGACTTTTGTACAAAACAGAGAATTGGAAAAAGTCTGACTGCTTGATTTATGTCACAACAAATGGGTTTTTCTTCCCCGTCTGACGAACCAACTGCATCTAGTCGCGAGGGTGAAAAATTTTGATATTTGATTTTTTAAAATTTTTTCTATCAGAGAATGATCAGAGTCACACTTCATATGAGTGTGACCAGGAACTAGAAAATTGTGGTCATTCACCTCTAGAGTTGGATGATTGTTTAAGAGAGACATGAACATGGCAGCTACATCCGAGTTTTTATTCTGTCCTCCACATCTGTCTGACCACAAGATTAACCTCTTCACATGTGGCGGAAGATTCAAGAGATGCTTCTGTAAACATGAAGCAATTTGATTGCCTTCTTTTGCAGCTACCACTTCATTCCGTATGAATTGGGCACGGGCTCATTACGATTAGCACGGACTGTACAGCTGGAATTAGTCTTATATTTATGCAGATATGTACACAAAGTAGGGCTAGTGTATTAGTTGTCCGTATATAGGTTATGGCCTTCTTTCAAAAATGGCTCCATAAGATTTGCTACTACTGACCCTGATATTCCAAGTCCTTGGAACAAAGTAATATCTGTCGATTTTCTAGTATAGACGAAAACACTTAATACATATCCTGTCTCGCAGTCACATATTAGAAAAACTTTTATTTTAAAGCGATGGCGTTTGGTTTTTATAAACTATTTAAATCTCAAACGCCCCTTGAAAAGAACTAATCTCTCGTCAATAGCAAGATTTTGAAATGGAGTGAAGTACTTTTGGAACGGTGTTGTAATTTTATTGGACACTGTTCGCAGTTTGTGAAAAGAATCTCCTTCTTTTTGTGCAGTATTATCTGAAAATGTAGCATGCTAAGGATTGCTTGGAAACGATTCCTTGACATTATTTCGAAAAATATTATTGTATAAAGCAACTTATTATTTGACCCGTTTTCTTTTACTTTACTTTTCTTTGAAGTATTACTTACTAAATTTTCTTTTAGGCCCGAATTAAATGAATCACTTTAGGTGACTTAATATTTGTAATATTTTTTTCATCAGATAACTCATTTTTGCTATTTATTTTCGACCTCATCAAATACAACTTCATGTATCTCGTCATCTTCATCCGAATTGGGATTATAGTCACTGCCACCTCTTCATCGGAGTCTAACATCGCGAAAATATCGTCATAATTCCTGTTTTGACAGCCCACAAAAGTTTCCATACTAGGCATACCTTTTACGCTTAGAACCACCTGCTTAACTCATATTACGCGCTCGATTGCGACTGTTGTGCCCGAAATGATTTTTAAAACAGAATTTTCAACACGTGAAATCGTTCGATGGACCTGCAGCTTTACCTTCGACCTATGGATGTAACAGCGTTGCCACCAGTGCTACAATATAGCATATCTAAAAGAACAAATATATACGGCAATGGGTTCGCATGATCTCTCTTATAGGTGCCAACATTTTGCGGCTTCGAGAACAATAATCTAAAAGTTTCGCACACATTTCTGCGGCATTGGGACACCAATGGGCAAAATTTTATGAGCAACGCATATTTTCGGCTTTGGTAAATTAAGACCATAACACCCAGAGTGTCCAGAACTACAGACCCACTTTTTAATATATATATATATATATATATATAATATATATATATATATATATATATATATATATATATATAATATATATATATATATACGGCGTTGGGACAGAAAGGGTTTATACCATCTATAGGAGAATGGATTTTTTGGGGCTAAGTTAAATAAATATAGTAATAATATAATCAATTATAAACAATTAATTTTTTTCTTGTAGTTTCCTCAACCGTCTACCGGATCGCTAACTCAAAAACATCGCCGTCACCAGTCCGTCTGTCTGTCCACCAACACCAATTTCGAACCTGTGATACCAAGCACACTCGTCACCTCTGTCAATTTTGGCACCAGCACGTCCAGTATGGATCCATTCACAGACGAGCTGCGTGCTGCCGTAGACAATCTGAGTGTAGGAAGGATACCAAGCAGCAGTGCCAGCGATCCTGACCTAGCGCATGATTATGCTGAGATTTATACGCCTAGTAGGGAAAAAGTGACGTGGCCTAGAGCTCCCACGCCGCCGCTTCATAGGTTTCCTAGCTGGGAGGATCGAATATATCAGGTTGGTAATATCACAGTCATTAAAATAGTTGTATTAGAGTAGCAATATAGTTAAATATATGTATAAATGACTCCATCGTATTTTCTTTAGTCTTTAATTATATATTATATATAATTGGTATATATAATTTATAAATTTCAGTCAACTTCACTCAACTAATTTCATTTATAATTTATAAGTTTCACACTCATAAGCTTCTATTGCGCGAGTGTTAAAAAAAAATAAGTACTAACTCAGAAGGAAACATGGGCAGACTCCCAATGATACTTACTTGCTAGAGATGATAACAATGAACCACCAACACCAGGAGTGATGACAAACAAAGAAATAAACCTTTGGTAGGGAGAGGTAAAAGAAGCATTTATGAGAGAATAAGATACCGAACAAAAATTTATGTCACATTTTATGTGTAGTTTTTTTCTTTTCTTTTATACATTTCAATGTGTCTTCCCCTAATTTGATATTCTGATGGGTGTTCCTTTGGTCGTCTTCTCCAAGAGCTTTTAAGGCCGCTGAAATCAGGCAGGTTTTTATGTGTTCATGCATTTCATCTAACGTGTCATATCTGAATTCTTCTAGTTTTTGGCCTTGTCTTCTTTTGTATAGTCCCCTACTCTGTTTAAAATATTCTTGGAACAGACACTCAAACCATGGAGGAGAAAGTGCAAAGGAATGGGCATACCAATAAGAAACGAATACCTATACACCTTAAGTTTTGCCGACGATCAAGTAGTCAGCGCACAAGATGAAGAAGATCTCAGCTTTATGCTCAGAAAACTAGAAGAATATAAAAACAACGGAATGGAAATAAACTTAGAGAAAACCGAATACCTAACAACAGAAAACAAGGATATGAGAAACCTAGAGATAGACGAGGGAAGACAAGTAAATGGAACAGATAAATTCAAGTATTTAGGAACCATAATATCGAACCAGGGAACAACAGAAGAAAAATATAAACAACAGACTAAGACAAACAAGAAACTGTATAAGACAACTAAATTCAGTGCTGTGGGATAAGAACATTACGATAAAGACAAAAAAGAGAATATATAATACCCTGACAAGAAGTATCCTGACATATGGGTCCGAAAACTGGACAATAAACAAGAGAAATAAAGGTAGAATAAGAGCAGTAGAAATGGAGTTCCTGAGGAGAAGCTGTAGACTTACAAAAAGAGACAGAATTGAAAACGCAGAGATTAAGCGGAGAATGGGAGTGCAATCAGACATAAATCGACTATATAGAGGAGAAAAGACCATCCTGGTACGGCCACGTCAGAAGAGCGGAGAGAGGACGCTGGATAAACAAAATCACAGAATGGAGCCCGATAGGAAGAAGAAAGAGAGGAAGACCCCGAAGGTCATTCAGAGACAAAATCGACGAGGCTATGGAGAAAAGAACCCTGCGAGATGGAGACTGGAATGACAGGGAAAATTGGAGAAAACGGTTGAGTGAAGGAAGACAGTGAAAACTGTGGAAATCCTTAGTAGTAGTACAAAAATATCTAAAGTACACAGCACCACATCTGACCAAACAACTATTAAAACTATTTCAAAAAATAATAGAGCATAACAGATTTCCACAAGAATGGGATCAAATATCCTAATACCTTTCTTCAAAAAGAGACACAAATCGGATTCCCAGAACTACAGAGGAATTAATTTACATGTGGATCTTAAGAAAGCATCATCTTCTTCTTTTTCTTCTTTTTATATAGACATGACTCTATCTGTTTCTCAATGTGCCTCCAGTAAGTTGTCATTCCATCGTTTTCGTGATCTTCCTACTGATCGTCTCTTGCCGTCTTTACTACTCTATTTGTTGTCATTCGGCTTATATGATCGTTCCATTCTATTCTTCTATTTCTTACCCAATTTTTGATGTTCTCCACCTTGCATCTATGTCGTATATCTGCACTTCTAGCTCTGTCCCCATAGTGTCTTACCATCAATTTCATCTAAATGTTTTCATCTATGCTGTTTCTAAGATCTTTTTTGTCCTCTCTATGTCAGACCTTGTTTCTGCCGCGTATGTCATTATTGGTCTGATGACTGTTTTGTAAAATCTGTCTTTCGTTTCGATATTTTTATGTGGATCTTAAGAAAGCATTATGAAGGTTCAAATTAAAGGACGTTTTCCACTTATTGTACGAAGAGAAAGAACCTTCAAGAATACTCTAATCGAAAATATCTACCAGACCAAAACAATAGAAGTAAAAGTAGAAGAAGAACTAACTGACTCAATTGAAGTTGATAATGGAATAAGACAGTGGAATGCGCTGAGCCCCCTATTGTTTAACCTAATCATGGATGAAGTCTTAAAAAAAGTAAGTACGAAAAAAAAATACCGAATGGGAAAAACAATTTAAAATAATTTGTTATGCAGACGACGCAATATTGATCTCTTAAAGTGAAGAAGATATACAACGTATCTTATACCACAGGTGCAGATATATGACGGAGATGCAAAATTGAAAACATCAAGGACTGTGTAAGAAAGAGAACAGTAGAATGGAACGATCATATAAGCCGAATGGCAACAAAAATAAAGTAGTAAAAACCATGAGACGGTTTTCCCAATAGGAAGACCACGAAAACGATAGAATGACAATTTACTGGAGGCACATTGAAAAACAGAGTCATATCTACATAAAAAGAAGAAGAAGCCTTTCCTATTAATTAGTATGTTTTTTCGTTTGTTACAATTCTAAAAGTGAATAACCTAGACCTTCATCCTACACAGACGCCTGGATAACGTTGAACAGACAACAGTGGATACCAAAGAGGCTAAATAATTCGATTCAGAATTTAAAAAGAGGCGGTGCAATTCACAGAACATTGTAGAAAAAGACAAAAAATAATACAGTGACAAAATTTACTAAGATATTTTCTATACCTAATCTGTTTTGAGGCAAAGATTTATAGTCTCTAAAAGTAAAACAAAATACAAACATTTTTTATCCTGTAGGTTGCAGCTGATGGTTTAACCCTTACCGGTACCACACCAAGTGACTTGGGACCCGAACAGGCAGGGTATCAAGATATACCAGTACCAGTATACGCTACAGTTAAAGGAAGAGCTAGTCAGATTAGGTCTATGCCATTTACGGGTGATTCTTCCGATGACTCCAGTGATGGTGAAGGTAACAATACTACGGTAAGTGATGAAATATGAACTAAAGATAATTGATAATATGAATTAAAGAAAACTGTTTTGTGCAGTAAAGTGTAAAGTATTCGATAACTATATTTATTAAATTATCTTCTTTGTGTGGTCTTTTATATTCCAAATTTACTTACAAATTATTCGAACATAAACAGAAAGCTTGGATATGTTCAGAAAGTCCATTTTACGATGCCTCATTTAAAAGGTTTGGAGGCGCTTTATTTGTTTTCAAACTTTTATAAAAAATTTATTTCCAAATACTAAAATATTTTTATATATGTTTAAGGCTGTTGATGGAACCAATACTCATAGTCGAAGTTCAGGTGATACATCAGGATCTAGTCCAGGAAAGCGAACAGCCTCAAGTAGTAGTGGCTCTCCTAGCAAAAGCAAAACTAGAGGTAGTTTATTTTTTATCTACACAAGTTTCAGCATGTCCATAAGTTGTGAGAAGGTTGACGCTTATAAAATAACTCTTTCAATAAGTAGAACAAAAGATATTTTGAGAACATAACCGTCTCTTATTTTAATAAATAATCATAATTTTGACCACCTAATACTACCGCCATACAGTGGGAATGTTAAGGTGGCAAAAATTTAAAATTTTTTTATTTAACGGTTTACCTTTTATTTATTTTTTTGACATAACATGAACATTTTTATTCTGTTCTATGTTAAGATCTGTCGTATGATTTAATTATAAAACAAATTATTCAGTATCTTGATATCGTATTCAAACGTTCAACAGAAGTACATTACTTTAAAGAAGGTTGAACATGATCTACTTATTTTTATAGGGACATTTTCCAATTATTTCGACGTCCTATTGAGCAGAAAATAAGACACCACTACCTGTTAGTTATTATTTTAATTAAATTTAATTGTAAAAATTATATTTTTTAACTTTTTTTATGTTTTAAGTTATGGCCATTATAATACACCACTACGCAAGGGTGAGACAAGTCTGATCCAGGTAGAATATAAATCGAAAATTGAACTCAAGATTCAGCCCAAATCTGTGTTTTCTAAACGTGCCAAAACAAACTACAAATGCACCAAAATGCACTGACATGGAGATTTTTAATTTGAATATACCTCATACCAATTCATCTGGGCAAAAATACCTTAGTGAAAACGATTTCCTTATACTCCATATTAGAGCAAAATATAAAATAAAAATTAAAAAAAATATATTAAGTTTTGATTTCGTTAAAGCGTACCAACAATATCTTAAATGTTTACCACCAAATGTTTACTAATGGAGAAGGAGAAGGAAGGCAGGAGAAGAAGAAGGTATAGAAATATGCATATTAGCGAAAGGTGATACTCTGTAACGAAATCAAACCTTAACTGTCCATTCTATTTTGTTTTGTTTATTTATATTGTTTATTTAACAATGGGCACCGCATCAGAACCAGATTTAGGAATCATAGGACTGTGTCGGTGCTTTAGTCAAAAGGATTGGAGGGACACAACTATCAAGAATCCACGAGATGCTTTCATAAAAGGGCTCTCTACTGGACAGAAAGCTCCAACTCAAAGATGTCCTTGCTTTGTTTTTCTTCATGCTGGGAGCGAAACTGGTTTTGTGGCATGGGTCGAATTAACTTTCTTGGCCAAGAAGGGAACCGCTGAGTACCACGACGAAATGGACGCGGATCTATATGAAGAATGGTTTGAGAAGACATTACTTACAACTTATAGAAAGACAAAGAAAACGTTGTCGTCTTGGATAACGAGTCATACTACTCCCACAAATTTGATTTCCCGAAAAATTTCAAACAACAAATGAACAGAAGGCTAATCAAGGATTGGCTAATCGAAAATAAGATTTTCTTCGAGTCAGATTACCTAAAAAGGTAATTACTGGATAATGCGGCCGCATTTAGAGATGGGTACAAAATTGAAACAAATGTGAAAAACATGACGTTAGGATTTTGGGACTGCCACTTTACCATTGCGAGCTGAACCCGATTGAGATGGTAGGAGTCATGTGAAAAGATATGTGGCTTTGAACAACGTCAATTTTAAAGAAAAACTGTAGAACGGTTGATAAAAGAAACTTATCAACGCGTATCTAAATAGCAGTCATAATTATGTGATCGTTCCACGTCTTCCAATCCACCTATTGGTAAAAACCTTCGTTTAAATAATAACAAATAATAATAACTATACGTGCAAAATGTGGTGGAGCTCCGTCCTGTTGGTAGTAAATACATTGATCTATCTCATTTGGATGATTATCATCAGGAAAAATCTTCGTAATGTAGGCACTAAAAAGGTAATCAAAAAATCTAGATAAACATCACGATCAACTATGGTCTCAAAAAAATAAGCACAAATAATTTTATTGTTACTTAAACGTTAACTTTTTTAGGATATTGTGTATGTGTATTACACACCCAGTGAAGATTTTTTCTGCTCCAATATCTACAGTTTTCTTTGTTAACCGTTCCGTTTAAATGAAACGTCGCTTCATAAGAAAAAACTGTTTTGTTTATGAACTGCAAATCTGCGTTCATTCTGTCCATCATCATTTCATGGAGTTCTTGCCTTCTATCCAGATCAGCTTCATTTAATTCCTAAACCAACTCAACTTTGTAAGGGTGGTATTTTTATTTATACAAAACTCTCAAAATAGACGATTTACTTACATAATTGATGGCGGCAAGTTCTCGAGTTGTCTTATGTGGATTTTCCTCAATCCCTAGAAATATATCTAACTTTTTTTCATTAGTAAATTTAACATCTCTACCTGGTTTTTCAATATTTTTTACATGTACAGTATAACGAAACTTCTGTTCAATTTTGCTAACTGTAGACTGCGAAACTTATTGACCAGGCTATTTATTATTAAACATTTCACAAACCTCCTTTTTAGTTTTTGTTTTATTACCACAACCAATCATAATTGCAATGTCTATTCTTTGATTCTCGGACAAATGAGCCATAATTAAATTTAATACACGCCCAAATATTATACCGACATCTTTTAGTAATTTTAAATACCTAAATGACAGCAGCCTACTAGATTCATATCAATTGTTTATTTGGCTTTTAAACTAATATTTTTATTATCTTCAAAGTTTTTTCCCTACTCTTTAGCAGAAGAGATACAAAAATATCTGATTATTTCTAAAGTATATTTTAATAGACCGGACAATATTGCTGATTTAAAAGTTAGGATAACGGAAAAAACTAACAAAATATACCCCGAGATCATACAAAATGTAAGAGAATTCCAAAATCGCCTCGGTTTTTTTTTGTTAATTCTCTTATCTAATTCAGAATAAATTAATGAGTTAAGTTTTTTGAAATAAAGCGCGTACGGTCCTTGTTTCTTTATCTATCGCCAAACTACCACACACCTACCACTGTGCCGATATGAGCGCTATTCTAAGTGTGGCTTTTACTACAGAAATCTAATATAAACAAGCCATTAATATTTTATTCTTGATTCAAAATTTTATTATAAAAGGGTTTAGTAATAGTAATATGAATAATATCATGGACATTAGCATACAATTAATAAAAGCGCAAATAGGAGTAATTTTGAAAAAAAAGGTAAAATGTGCAAAAGAAAACACCTAAAATAGCCAAATAATCAAAAAATATATTTTTCTTAGAAAGAAAAGATTATATGAAATGAGCAATTCCATTATCGTACTTTTACCAACCTAGTAGAACTAGGAAAAACAGTATTTTTTACGTTTTAGTGTTTTTTTATTAATTTATCGCACGTATTTTGAATAACCGACATACAATTTTATATATACTAAGTTTTTTTTATTTACTTCACACTTTTTGTTCCTTAGTTTTATGGTAACCTTTAACGCTTGACTTAAAGGTGTTTCAGATACTTCCTTCGAATCCGGCATGTCGGATGACTACGCAGTCCCCCCAGACGCTCTAAGTTGTGATACTACAAGTCTAGAATCCTCGTTGCTTCTCAGAGCTTCTTCGTATTTAGATAGTCCAAAGAGAATAGAAAGTTTAGAAAAATGTGGATCGTTAGCTAAATTAGGTAATGTATGCTTTTATTTAGGTATATTTAATTTTTGACTGATTTGAAGAACCTGACTACAAGATATTTGATATTGTGCCTGAGACTTTTTAGTCAGAATTAGGTAACGAACCAGAGTTAGGTGGTCCCTTTCTCAGGACTCTAATGTAGTCCTTGTTTTAAATATGGATCAGTCTGTTCCCTTAAAGTAAAACCTTTTAACATGGAGCTCGTGTCGCATCAATTTTAACATTTAATACACTCAATATGTAATCCAAAGGTTAATATACATCATTTAGTGGCTGGTTTAAATTAACGATGATTTTACTGAGAATGGTCTGATTAGATCCAAAACGTTCTGATAATTTCCATTTTTTATAAAAAAATTTTAAATATATAAATTGTTTGTATACCAAAGAGAAGGGATTAAGCCTGAAGCAGTCATCTTTATTCAGTTAGCAGTAGTCAGTATAAATATTTTATCCATATTAAATATAATCTTTCATGGTGTTTTTTTAGGTGGTAAATTGAAAACCTGGAGGAAGAAATGGTTCGTCCTCAAGAACGGTGTTTTGACGTACTATAAAAGCCAGAATGATATTAATAGAAAACCCCAAGGACAGATACTTTTAGATGAAATTTGTAAAATAACAAGAGCCGAGGGCTCAAATACTTTTGAAATAGATACCGGAAAAAAGACTTATTACTTAACAGCTGATTCCTTGCCTGCTATGGAAGACTGGGTAAGTTTACTCACAGATGTTTTCATTATTGTGCTACAGATTAAATTGTTTTTAATCAGCGTAATTACTCAGGCTGGCAGAAACGTTGAATCTATCGCAGCCGAAACATAAACCTAAAAATATATAGAATTGGACGGCTAAGCAAACGGGATATTCTTTGAATTGTTGGTTTCAGAACACATATCATAAATCCATAGCTATTTAAATAACCTCTGATCGATAAACATACTTCTAGCAACTATTAGGGCTCCCGTTAGGGTCTAAAATAATAATTTATTTAAAAATATATAAGAGAAAAGGAATTTTCTGGCTTACCTCGTCAAGAGACCACTCAATAAAAGTTTCGTTCTGTTTGTTTGACGTACAGAGAAAGGAAAGATGGATGGCCGTCGGTTTACGAGCGCTACAATTTTGGGTGGCGAACTATTAGGACTACAGTTTGATTTTTGTAGGTTAGATGCTTCTACTCTCGGCGGATAGATGACGTGAGCAACAATATTTTGAATATTTACTCGGAATTAAAATAATAAATTTTTTGAAACTTTTGAAACGGTTACACTACAACTACTGATGAACCAACATAGCTTTGGACGTAACAGAGGCACTAGGGAACGGATTTTCAACATAAGACAAATTGTAGAAAAAAGCCATGCCAACCTATCTATGCTATATTGACTATACCAAAACATTCAACTGCGTGAGTTGGCAGCAACTATGAAGCATCTTTGAAGAAATGAGTATAATTCATCATTTAATCTACCTAAAAAAAATCTCTACATAATCACATCAGCCAGGTCACGGTGGAAAGTGAATTGAGTGTTTTTTAGGTCGACAAAGGTGTCCAACAAGGGTACTGATGGTAACACACTCATTGCTACATCCAAAGAAATATTAGAAGAACTTGTACAACGAGTTGAAGACAACAGTTTGGAAGTCGCACTCAGATTAACAAACGGAAAGTAATGATACTAGAACTACAGAACGCAAATAATTTAACTATAAAGACAATCTATAATATCGAAACGGTTAACCAAGGGGGATGTGGTGTGGAAATTAGAATTGTAGATACATTTGTACACCAAAGTGCAAGTAGTTAAAAACCTGGTATTCCCTCTATTTCTGTAAGGATTTGAAGGTGGAATATTAAAACAAACAAACAAAAAGCAAATAGATGCCTTTGAAATTTATTACTGATGTTGAATGGTAAAAGTGTCATTGACTAAGAAAAGAATTAATTTATCAATCCTTCAACAGATCCAAATAAAGAAGAGTACCTTCATAGTACCTGCAAATATCTCTATCGAAGTTCTTCAGTCGTTATTAGAAGAAATGTTTTGGAAAGATCTAGAGTGGGGGCATAGTATAGGTCAAGGGAAAGGAAGTTAAGGATGATCGCCGATCAGATAAACATATTTTATTACGAAGCTTACAGGCAAGACTCTATTAAAATCAATACAAAATAACAGAAGAACGAGACAATCGTGAATTGGCAGTACAAGAGGTTTAATAAAATCGCGACGCTGCAAACAAGCTATCGACTAGGAAGAAGAAGCGAGAAGAGTTTACTAAACGGATCCATCTTATTAAAAAAAAAGCACTACCTTTAGTTTTTTTGTGTGTCTTAGAAACACTTATTGATTGATTGAGTTCTAATGCTGCATGTTTCTATTTGTGCCAACGATTTATCTAGAGAATATTCTATTCAGAACCCAGAGACCTCCGACCGTTGTCGAATGGTACTTTACACTTTAAATAATTGTTGTTCATACATTAATGACAATTTTATTTATTTCATTAATGTAAACACTAGTTTAAGTAGTTTTATATTAAAATTTGAAATTTTAGGTTAGAATTTTGCAAAACGTTCAACGAAGAAACGCAACTAAGTTATTACTAAGTAGAGATGAAAATAAACCAATTTTACAAGGCGTCCTTAAGAAAGTGAAAAATGGAATACCCCGTGAGTGTTGGTGTGTTCTTATAGGGAAAATGTTTTTGTATTTTAAGAAGTCAACAGATTCGGTGAGTTGCATGGTTTTTACAAAATATATTCTTATTTCTACACAAAAACTCGTTCCATTAACGGGCGTGTTTAAAATTTCACATAAATAATGTGATAAAACACTATTTATTTTAAAAAAATTATAATTTAGTCCAGACTGTGAGGCCGCTCCCATTGGGAAAATGTTTCTGATTCGGTTTCTTCGCGGATTCCGGTTCAAAAATGTCCCCTTTAAACAAATCTGAAGGGTGCCCATTGGCGAAATTGTTTAAACAATTTTTTTTAAACAAATTCCAAAAATATTTTTTTTTAATCTGGAAAATGTTTTTTTTAGGTTTTTTGGGTCATTCTAAATAAAAAAGGTCTGTTGTCATTTTTCTCTAAAGTTGATAGTTTTCGAGTTATAAGCGATTTAAAGTCTGAAAAACGCCAAAATACGCATTTTTGAGGCTTGAAAACACATATGTAAATTATTATTTTTGAGGTTACCAAGTGTCTAAATTAAAGTTTAAACATTCAACTTCAAGATTGTGAAGAGTAATCGGGCTTATTTTAATTAAGACCGTTGTTTTTTAATTGTTAAATATGCGCGTACACTCGATTTTTCAGCCAGCGCGGCGCGCTAGAGTGCGCTTCTATCGTACTTATGCATAGTTTACATATACACTTACGCAAAAAAAACCCGAACAAATCCTTGAAGTTTAATAACATAGTTTTTTTCCATAATTTATTTATGTAGGTATTAATTATTGTCATTGGGCTAATTAAATAAATCAATCATCGCAATGTAATAACCGTATATAGTTTTTTTTTCTTCCAAATTTGAACAATATAATTATTATTTATTGAGTATATATTTATTTATATCAATTGTAAATAATATTTTTAAATTATTATTTAAATAATACAATGCAGTAAATATTAATATTAGTAAACTTAATTTTAAATTGCGCGGTGTTTAAAAACAATATACTATCGCAAAAATGCAAGTTTTTACCTGTTTAACAATCGCGCGCTCATACTTGATTTGTTATTACTTAAACGATCATTAGGAAGACTATTGTTTAATGCCCATTAAAAGGGTATTATATTATTAATGTGTTATTAAAAAAATTGTGAATGGATTTAAAATGTCTTTTTCCGTACCTCTTCTTAAATGAAAACTTACCGAAGAAAATTTAGTTTGTATTTTTTGTAATAACATCAACAATATTAAGTTAGTGCAAAAACCTAAAGTAGATTTTTACATAACAATACAAAATGCTGCTCTTCGACGAAAAGACAGTGTGACTGAAAAATTTAATTTAATCTAGCCAATATACCTTGTACCTCTGACGCACTTTACCAACACTTGTTAAGAGCTTTCGCTAAAACATATATTTGGCGAAATGCCATATATTCCCGCTATCAAACTCTCGATTTTACACAATATGGATATTATATGTCTGATAGTGGTGGGTTGGGAAACCGTGCAAATGCAAAAAGACTTGCAAAACTAATGCTTGCAACTGCAAGAAAAATCATGTCAACTGTGTACCATTATGTGGATGTGATTTAGATTTTTGTGAAAACAAAGATACTTTTACTGAGTGATATTAGTGTGTTATTTAACAATCTTTTGTACAATTATTTTATGTAACTATTATTAGACTTTAGACGAAATTTATATTATAACTCAATTGATATAAATAAATATATACTCAATAAATAATAATTATTTGTAAGTATATGTAAACTATGCATAAGTACGATAGAGGCGCACGGTAGCGCGCGGCGGCTGAAAAATCGAGTGTACGCGCATACTTAACAATTAAAAAACAACGGTCTAAATTAAAATAAGCCCCGATTACTCTTCACAATCTTGAAGCTGAATGTTTAAACTTTAATTTAGACACTTGGTAACCTCAAAAATAATAATTTACATATGTGTTTTCAAGCCTCAAAAATGCGTATTTTCGCGTTTTTCAGACTTTAAATCGCTTATAACTCGAAAACTATCAACTTTAGAGAAAACTGACAAGAGACTTTTTTTGTTTAAAATGGCCCAAAAAACCTATAAAAACGTTTTCCAGATAAAAAAAAATATTTTTGGACTTTGTTTAAAAAAATTGTTTAAACAATTTCTGCCCAAAAATTTCGCCCGGCACCCTTCAGATTTGTTTAAAGGGGACATTTTTGAACCGGAATCCGCGAAGAAACCGAATCAGAAACATTTTCCCAACGGGAGCGGCCTCACAGCCTGGACTAATTATATTTTACTTAATGTACTGTTTAGAATAAAAAAAATTGAAGTAGTTGAAACTTGAACTACTAGAACTGAGTAGTTGAAAATAGAAAGTAACGATATGCTGACGATACGGCAACAACCTTAGAGGACCTGCCAGCGTATGATAGATATGATTAATGACACTAAACGTTTTGAGCTTAAGATTAACGCTACTAAGACTAAATTTATGGCAATAGTTCGACAGCCGATAATAATAAATACTATCTTGACTGTAGATGGAAATACTATAGAGTGTGTATCAGATTTAAATATCCAGGCACCATAATCAACGGAAAATAATTTCCTATTAGTCTCCCACTTGCTTTTAGACTACTTTGTGAAGTGCTACATATGATCCATTTTACTTTATTGCAGAGAGACGTGATCTCTTAAGAGTAGATCACTGAATCGCATTCATCATCCAGCCTCAAGAGTCCACTGCTAAACATAGGCCTCTTCCTCATGTTTCCAACTTAGTCTATCTTGCGCCGCTCTTATCTAGTTTTTTATTGAGTCTTCTTAAATCGTCATTCCATCTTGTAGGTGGTCGACCGACGCTTCTCTTGTCTTCCCTTGGCCTCCATTCCAATAACCTCTTTGTCCATCGCCCATCTGTCATTCTGGCTATGTGTCCTGCCCATCTCCATTTTAGTCTGGCTATCTTCTCGATGATGTCAGTCACTCCGGTTCTTCTCCTGATGTCTTCGTTTGTTATTCTGTCTCGGAGAGTTATTCCTAACATGGATCGCTCCATTCTTCTCTGCGTGACTCCCAGTTTGGTAGCTGCTGCTTTTGTTAAGATAAGTGTTTCTGCTCCGTACGTCAAGACTGGGAGGACGCACTGATCAAATACCTTTCTCTTTAGGCATGTGGGCAGCTCACTTTTAAAAGTTTCTCTCAGTTTTCCAAATGCTGCCCACCCAAGGCCGACTCTTCTCTTCAGTTCATGAGTCTGGTTATCTCTGCCAATCATAATTTCATGTCCCAGATATTTATATCTATCTACGAGTTCTATTTCTTTTCCACCAATACTGATGTTCTGGTTGGGCACCAAATTGGTCATGATTTTTGTTTTCGAGATATTCATATTTAAACCTACATTTTCTGTAGCCACAACGAGTTCCTGTACCATCTCTCTTGCGATACCTAGATCTTCAGCTATTATAAGTATATCATCGGCGAGACGTAAGTTGTTTAGATATTCTCCATCTATTTTTATTGAATCGCATTGAAGCATTTCCTACCGTGGCCATATCCTTCGGATAAGCAGATACTATATTGCCAGATTAATCTTACAAGGAAAGATACAGGGGCGCCAAGATCCAGGAAGAAACCAACATTCATGACTGAGGAACATTAGGGACTGATGTAATATTAGAGACCTAACCACAATATTACAATGAGCAGAAAACGGCATTATGAAAAAGATTTGAAGAGTACAGACAATCAACAGCGTGCGGCGAAGCACATGGCACATGAAGATAAAGATTTTTCTGTATTTCTATACTTCTTCTCCAGTTTCATCCTTCAAACATATCATGTGATTAAATATATTGAGGCTAGTAGTCCTAGGAAAACCGAAACGAATAAATCAAAGGTGTTTACCAATACAGTAGAAAAATAGTTAAACACAAACTTCGTCAATTGAGAAAGTGCAACCGAAAATGGAGACAAATGTAGGAGCAGCATAGAAAAAAGCAATAAGATCCTTGGAAGAACCTTAACATTCATAAACATTACACATCTAATAAGATATACAGACTAGAAGATAATCTGTTATAAAGTAAAACTTGTTAATGTTTCTGGTGTATGAAAATTAATACAAAATCACACGTTAGTCTTAAAGTAGTTTATTGCTTCTTTTATGGTACCATAGTGTTTAAAGTTGTTACAATTTTTTAACCCTTTCAGTCACAACTTTTTTTTGAGCTATGGGAAAATTCTCATATTTGGTATATAAAATAAACTATTTTTGTTGATAATTTTAACATCATTTTTTTTTATATGTCATATGTCACTTGGCATATGACATGTCCATGTTGATGGACATTATGACTTGAAGCAAAATAAAATAAACCTGAAGATTTTAGAAATTTATTTGAATATCATTAGAATGACGAAATAAACAATATTCTTTGTAAATAACGAATTAATCATTTTACATGAAATTTAAAAAAAACAGTTACGACCGCTTACAAAACATAAGTGAACATTACATTTCACGCAAAATGTATGTGATTTTCCCTTACAGTTCTCCATTTTGCAACGTGTACTATCTTTTTTTTTCATCTATTTTCGGAAAATGTCCATAGCTGTCGAACCGTAATTCAATATATGGCCTTGCTTCAGTTTTGGTTTTTTTATTATTTGGTGTACCAGTATTTTCTTGACCAGATGGTCTGCCTCTCTTTGGTGGAACCTTATGTAAAATGAGGTGTTGCCCAATACTCATTCTAAAGTCCCACAAATCCAGGATTTTATTGTGTTGTACGCCTAGCAGTTCAGCTTGTTTTCTATATTCCAACCAGGAATTTACTATCGCCATATCTATAGCATGTGTTATCATACGTACAGTCCATTTTCTGGATCGTCTGTAGGATCTGTAAACGCTCAATAAAAAATCTAACTTATCAACACCACCCATGTTGGAATTGTAAAGCGATATGGCTTCCGGTCTAGATACATTTATATACTCTTTCGACGTCTTATCCCATCTCTGGCACAAATCCATTTTTCCCGCTGCAACAAAATTTGAAGCCACTAAAACTGGTTTATTGTCGAACCATTTTGTAATCACAATTCCATCTTCACTAACCGCTACATCAAAACTACCTCTACCATTTTTTTTAGATCTTTATCAGATGTTAGTTCTGGTCCAAAAAATCGGTTTATTCTAATTGTTCCGACAGCCATAATAGATTTATTGTTCAACCATTGAAAGAGGTGATAAGAACTAAAGAAATTATCAAAGTACAAACCGTGATGAGTTTCTTCAATTCTCTCAACTAGCTGCATCACAGTTCCAGCTCCTTGTCCAAACTGTGCATAATTTTCTTTTATTTCCGTTTCAGCACCTTGATATATGATGAAATCGTAAATGGTACCAGATTGTCCAGCCAATATCCATAATTTGATCCCCATTTTTTCGGTTTATTTGGGAGGTACTGCTTGACATTGATCTGTCCCTTGAATGGAACAATTTGCTCGTCAATGCACAAATTTGTTTCGGTTTGAAGTTCCCTACAACGATTTCTAATGGAATTATATATTTCTCGGACTTTCCACATGCGATCTGTTTCGTCACCTCTTGCTGTTACATCTACTAAGTGAATGGTATTGCGCAACTTAGAGAAGCGATTGAATGTCATATTATCTTTTACAATTGAAATACCTGTAAGCTGGGACCAATACAGTCTTGCTCTTGGGAATTTTAGATTTCCCATAATAATGTGAATGCCTACAAATCGCTTTATTTCTTCTTTATCTGATGGAGAAAACCGAGTAATATTTTTTTGTACGGCATATAAGTTAGTCATTTCTGAAATCTTCTCAAACAGAGCATCAGGTATGTATTTCATAAAATATTCAATAGGAGCAGGTAATTCATCAACTTGTACTTCTTCTGGAACAAACCACTGTACTGGCCTGGTAAGATAGGTAATATTTTTTTTCCAACAAACATCTTTCTTATTTGTGAGTTTGAACTCTTTACAAAACTCTAGCAGTCTCTCCTTTGCAGTTGTTTGTTTTTCAGTGGTTTGGTTGGAATTTTCTTTGGTTTTCATGTCCTCAGACATTGGTTGTTCTGTAGTCACTTCATTGGGATATTCTAGATTTTCTAACTCACCTCTTTCTGTTGACTTCTGTTCTTGGATCAATCCGTCAAAAATAGTTTCCTCAATATCTTGGATATCATCGCCAAATTCTGAGGAAACGTCATTTAGATCCGCAATACTGTTGGCGTCATCAGCATCTGACAAACGTAATATTTCTGAGTCATCGTCTTTCATGAGTAAATCCAGAAGTTCATCCTCAGTCAAGGGTCGTGACCATCTCTTTTCTTTACTAGTTGACGGTAAACTTTCCATTTTATGGATATCTAAAACAACACGACCTTGCTAATTTTTATATGCATAAGTATACCTAAGTCATTTTGTCCATCTACATGGACATATAAATATACACCACTTTATAAGATATTTTCAGTCAACAGTTTGATACATAATATAAACACACTATACTAATGCTCTTTACTTACCCAAATCAGCAGGTATTTGTACGAAAAAACAAGTTTATTCAATAGAAATCGTTCCAATAACAAACAGGTGTTTTCACCACCACGACAGCGTGCTAAATGCAACCTGTTTTGCGTTTTATATAGCTTCACAAATCGACTAACAGATGGCTATCAATGTATTCAATGCTTTTCTTATGCATGTACCCACACATGGACAAAATGATTTGGGCGATAATAACCATCGATGTTTTAAGAAAATGCTTTGAAAATCGATGTCCATCGGTGTGGACACGATGACCGAAAGGGTTAATAGAGTTTTAAAAATCCCATCCAATTTTATTTTTTTAGACACCTCACGGGCAGATAAACATGAGGGACGCCAAAGTGGAAGAAATAGAACATTTGTCCGACTCAGATTCTGAAGAACAGGACACAGATCAGCCTAGATTTACCGTCGGCATATTTCCCAATAATCAAGCTCCAACTTATCTTCATTTTACTGGTAAACAAGTAAGTATACTTTTCTCTTTGTACAAATTTAATTTCTATAAGAGACACTTGTTCATAATGTTTATTCAGGAGCTGGTATTATTTTTTTATGAAAATAAGATAATGTATAAAATGTATCAATTAATTGTTGTTGTAATTGTTTTATAAAATGTATCAATTAATATCAGTATTGTGTGTGTATCCAATCAAATTACGGTACCTGTAGTATTGAACTAACACTTCTGCTTCTTACACAGTGCGCTGGTGGAACTCAGGGGCGAAATCATCTTAAAGTTGCGTGGTTGAGTTTACACAAAAAACTGGAGTGTTCTTCCAGTACTTCATTTTACCTGTATTTTTCCCTGCATTATGGTTTGGAACAACACATATTTATCCCCTCTCATAACGTGGCCGAGATACTGTAACTTTCTTATCTTAATCGTATTCATGATTTCCATTTCCTTTGTCATCTTTCTGAGGACCTCAACATTTGTTATTCGGTCTACCCAACTTATTTTTAATATTCTTCGGTAGGTCCACATCTCGAATGCTTCAAGTCGATCGCTCACCTCTTTCTTTAAGGTCCAGGCCTCCACCCCATACAGCAGCACCGAAAACACATAAGAACGTAATATTCTTATTTTGAGTTGTAAACTAAGGTCTCTACTGCATAATACTTTTCTCATCTTATTAAATGTTGCTCTAGCTTGTCCAATTCTCATTTTTATTTCTTCTGTATACTCGTTATTTTCATTAATAATTGTACCAAGATATCTATATTTTTTTACTTTTTCTATTGGAACTCCTCTTATGTTTAAAATGTCTTGTTGTTGTGTTTTGGAAATTGTCATAAATTTTGTTTTATTAGCATTAAGCGTTAGTCCGCTTTCCTCACTAGCATTTACTACATTATCTAAAAGTGTCTGTAGATCTTGTATATTCTCTGCAATTAGTATAGTATCATCGGCATATCTGATATTGTTGATGGGTCTGCCGTTGACTTTTATTCCAATTGTTACATTTTCGAGTGATTTTTAATTATTTCTTCCGAATATAGATTGAACAATAAGGGGGAGAGTATGCAACCTTGCCTTACGCCTCTTTTTATCTCTACTTCCTCCGAAAGTTCTCTGTCGACTCTGACTTTTGCTGTTTGGTTAAAGTAGAGATGAGTTATTATTCTTAAGTCTTTTTTGTCAATGTGTTTCTCTTTAAGTAACTGTATAAGACGGTTGTGTCGGACCTTATCGAACGCCTTATTATAATCAATAAAACAAATATAGAGTGGTTGGTTTACATCCATACATCTTTGCATGAGGACGTTAAATCCAAATAATGCCTCTCGTGTACCCATGGCATTCCTAAATCCAAATTGGGTTTCAGTGATGTCTTGTTCCACTTTTCTGAAAATTCTTAAATGGATAATTTTTAAGAATATTTTTAGTGTGTGACTCATTAGACTAATTATACGGTGGTCATTACATTCCCTTGCATTAGGTTTTTTTGGTAATGTAATAAATGTTGATTTGAGCCAATCTCTCGGAATAATACCCGTATTATATATAGTATTATATAAGTCTACTAATACATTGATCTGATCTTCTGATATTAATTTAATTATTTCAGTTGGAATTGTGTCAGGTCCCGCAGTTTTATTAGATTTTGCCAGATTTATTGCATGTATTATTTCATCCTTAGTTATATTTGGACCTATATCATGTTCCTCGCAATCGTTCATGCTATCTTGTTGTGTCCTGTCATCCTCAAACAATTCTTGGACGTATTCTCTCCATCTGTTTAGTTTGCCTTTTACATCAGATATTATTTTACCATTCGTATCAACCAGGGTGTTACTATTGTTGGACCGTCTTATACCTGCTAATTCTTTAATTTTTTTGTGCACTTCAAAACTATCATGATTTCTCTGGAGTTCTTCTATCTCTAAACATTTGTCGTTGTACCACTTTTCTTTAGCTGCCCGTATTTTTATCCTGATCTCCTTGTGTGTGGCTTTGTATTCGTTTACATTTTTGTTTTTGTATGATCTTCTTTTGTCCATTAGTTGCCGGATCTCATCTGTCATCCATGGAGTCTTAGCTTCATCGATTTTGTGACTACTCATCGTATCTTTAATTGGCATCATTAATGTGTTCTTAAATTTTTCCCATTTTTCGTTGGAATCTTCATTGTCATTGATTATTGTTTTGTTTAACTCCTCGTTAATTTTCAACGTTAGTTCTCCTTTTGTATTCGGGTGTTTTAGCAGAGTGCTTATTTGTTGTGTCTTTTGTTGTTTTTTTTATTGTCTTTAAGTGGATTTCGAATTTTACGATTACTAGATTGTGGTCTGATGACACATCTGTTCCTGGATATGTCTTTGCCGATTTGATGGAGTTACGGTATCTCTTATTGATAAGGATATAATCTATCTGGTTTCTGATAATTTTTTCTTTGCTATCCTTAGGTGATTTCCATGTATATAATCTACGTGGTGGTAACTGAAAAAATGTATTTGTCGCTATCATTTCAAACTCCTGACAGAATTCCGTCAGTCTTTCCCCTCTTTCGTTCCTTATTCCTAGCCCGAATTCACCAATAATGTCTTGGAATTTACCTTTTCCTAATTTGGAATTAAAATCCCCCATTGTTATTATTATATCTCTATTATTGGTGCTTTCTAGTGCTTTTCTAATGTCATTGTAGAACTTTTCTATTTCATTTTCATCTTTATCTGCAGTGGGGGCGTACACCTGTATGATATTAAGAGTTCTATGCGTTGTTTGGGCTGTGATCATTAACACTCTATCCGATATAGGAACAAAACAAGTTACAGCTTGACAGAAACTGCGATCAACCACTATAGCGACGCCATTATAGTGGTGAATATCTTCATTTCCTGAATAGTATATTTTGGCACCGTCGACTTCGATTTCGCCAGATCTAGGCCATCTGGTCTCGCTTAGTCCTATTATATTAACTTTAAGTCGCCTCATCTCATGTATTACATTGTGGATCTTCCCTGCTTCATATATAGACTTCACATTCCAGGTACCTATCTGCAGTTCGTTTATATTTTTGTGCCTGACGCGGGGTTTTCGCATGTTGGCGACCTGGGAGGCCCCGCGGTCTAACTGTGAGTTACCTCCCCTGCCGGATCTTGGTATCCGATGTCCATGATAAGTAGTTGTGAAATTCTCATTTATAGTAGCCATGATAATTGACAAGAGATATCTATTTACAGATCTCTAATGTAGTGATTTCTCGTTGCCTTCTACATCCTTCTGCCGTTGACCATTTCTTTGGTTCATCCGCCTTTGGAGTCGATTTCTCAACTTCAGGACAAAAGAGTGCCCTATAACCTACCAATTCATCCGCCCGTAGCCGTTGGTCAGTAAGTGAGAGATTGCTTATACTGGCAAACACTCGGTCCCTATCTGCATTGGCCACCTATAGATAGATCTTGCCCATCTTGTACCACGTGGAGGTTGCAGATTTGGATTTTTCTTTCATTGGGATTAAGACCTTTCGGCATTTCCTAATCCCTGCAGAGCTTTAGAAGATAATTAAGACATACAAACACGTTAATTAAAGAATTAAATATAAAAATAAAAGAATAAGAAGTACTTAATTACTATGTAAATGGGAATAAGCAACAATTAAACGTTAAAATAAGTTTATTGACGTAATTTCCACTTCGAAAATCGTTCTCAAAATACAAACATTAGTAAATTGCAATATACTAATGTTTGTATTTTAAGTTCAAAAACTGTATTTCAAAAGTTGTATTGTTTATTTTAGGAAAAAGATGCTTGGTTATACCACCTCACTGTCGCGAGTGGTGGCGGACCTAGCACAGGCACTCAATATGAACAACTCATACACAAATTAATGGAAGTTGATGGTGATCCAAATTGTGTCCTATGGAGACATCCACTGTTACTACACGTGCCTTGTACGAAAGATGGAGCCGTTCCATCATACTTTCCATTGACCAGCTTACCTACTGAGAATCTTCAGGTAACTTATTGATTTATCTGATATGACTGATAATTATTGATTTTGTGATGTTCTTTCGTAGGAGTCACTATCCGGGTAGCTTTTGGACAGACAGAGACAGAGTTCAAAATAAAAATAAAACTTTATTGTCTTTCTTAAATTAAATTGACAAAAATCTTATGTACATATTTACAATTTGGTTTAGTCTTCTCAGTACCTGGCCTATTTATTCAAATTAAGTTTGACCTTGTCATATGAAATTAGTCTTATCGGCAAGTGAGTGTGTATTTGAAATTTTACGGGAACGTTGTATCGATTTAATACAGCGGACGATAGGTACAAAGAAAGGAAAGGAACTCAACACGTCCCTTAAGTGATTCGGGTTAATAGGACACTCCTCGACAGTCTCAACACGACTGCTTCAGAGTACGGGTAGTAAAGAGCTCATCACGCTCTTCGGGTAACGGCGGTATGGGACGGAACAACTTGTGAACTCAACACGGCCACAAGCCGGGGTAGGGAAGAAGAGAACCTTCAGTCAACACCTGTCGATTCTGTCTCTATGAGGAAATGTTGCGGTTTATATAGCGGAGCTTGGTAATTAGTTTTGCCCTTTCTACTGTCGATACACTCCTACCTCATGGGTTGGTTCGCGCGCACGCTGGTTTAACGGTAATGGCTTGGACTCATCGTTACAATTTAATGTATTAGATAAGTACCACTTTGTCACGTGCTGCCTATCTGTGTTAAAATAATTGGTTGGTAATACCTAGATGTTATAGTGATACTCAGAGGATATGAGTTTTCTTAAGACTAGAATTACTAAGAGATTTATACTTTTTAGGCCGAAGCGATCAAACTGTTCAAGTGCCTGCAACTCTTCATGTCGGCAGCCGTGGATCAAGCCGGCATCGACTACCACGTGGTACTTGCTCAAAACGCCTTGCAACAATGCCTTGACATGCCCGAACTGCAGTCTGAGTTAATCTGCGCCTTAGTGAAGCAAACGAGCAAAAGTGCTCCTCTGCCGAAACTCGGAGTCCAGGTATCCACTCAAAAATTGCTAAAAAAGAGCGTAAGTGTGCTTCGTTTATTTAGTTTTTATACGTTTAGTTCTGAAAATATCTTTACTGTTGCTGGTATAACCCAACTAGGATACTGCAGATATGTTTAAAATTTTAGTATATTACATTAAATATTATTAGTATATATTTAGCCTTGTTGTCTAACTTCATATAAAGTGAAACATTATAAAAGCACTTGGATTTAATCATCATATGATACCCTCATATCTAACGATCCAACTAGAGATTCAGAAGTCACAAGATATAAAAAAATCATCTACTTTAAAGTCTTATTTAAATCTGAGTTTTCGAATGTATTTTTTCAGTTCTATGAGATACGATTATCGTGGTTAGCTAGTCCATCGTTCACCTCCAGCGGCTCTATACAGAGTGGTCCAAAAGTCTGGAAACGGCTAATTATCTCGTAAATTACTAGACATAATTATACAAAATTTGAGATACGCGTATTTTGGGATACGGAGATTCCATATTTGGTATTTGCAATGTTGCCAGATTTTCAGTTTCTCTTATATTACTAGTAACTTTGATTTTTCAAATGCATCACCCTGTATATTCTATCATTATTGGAATCTCTTATTAAATACGAGTTCAACCATATGTTATACCTATGATTTTATGTAGTCTGGAAGGTCTTAATATACATAAAACAAAGTCTGGCAACGCCTAAATTGTTTCAATACATTTTTTAATACTAACTATTTTCAAATACATTAAAACGTAACAGTTGATAGTTTAGAATATTTTTAACATAATAGTTACGTTATTAAGTGTTCAAAATGTGCTCCATTTGTGAGTTGACAGTACTCTAATCGATGGTAGAATGCGTCTACCACATTTGTCCATGATTGTCTAGAAATTATTCGAGATTCATCGATAATTCATTTCTTAGCTATGCAAGACTTGCTGGTTAAGTTTTGTAAACTGAATTTTTTAAGTATATCTAATAAAAATAATCTTTAGGATTGAGATCGGGTGAACGTGGAGGCAATTCAATTCTACCTTGTCTACCAATTTATCGTCCAGGAAATATCTCATCTAATAACGCCGAACATTTACACCAACTATCTGACGTTAAATTTCTTTCGATAAAAAATGGCCAAATTAAATAAGTACCTACTATAACTGACCATACATTTAATTTTTGTGGTCTTTGAGTATGGTTTTCACGCATTCAGTGTGAATTTCACACGAGTTCAGCTATTCAATACGAGTTCAACCATATGTTCACTTGATTTTATGTAGTCTGAAAGATCTCAAATACATAAAACAGTGCAAAATATGTAGATTTTAATAAATTTAAATATTTAAATGGAGAATGCTGTGATTTTGACATTTGTTCACCATTTAAATTATGAACTAAAATTAACAGTAGTTGTGTTTCAAAAAGTTATGCAATTTAAATTGCTTCTCTAAAATGCCGTTCTCTAAACCGTTCTCCTATTCATAAGACGACGGTACAAAAAACTGTAAGGCGATTTGAGGAATCTGGAGAAGTAAAAGATAGATACCGATCAGGTTGACCGAAACGAGTTATCAATGACAACAAAACTTCAGATATAACCAAAGTTTTGTTGAAGATCCACATACATCCCCAGGCAGGGTTGCACAAATACATGATGTAGGTCATTCTTCAGTCTTACGTTTATTACGTAAAAATAAATTTAAATCATACAAAATTAACTTATTGCAAGAATTAAGTGAAGATGACTTTGGTCGTAGATTAGAGTTTACTGAGGTAATGATGGATAAAATTGAAAATTATTAAAATTTCGTTAACAGAATATGTTTTTCCGATGAAACAACTTTTACACTGTGTTGAAGTGTAAATCGACACAATTTAAGGTACTGGTGTGACGTAAATTCACACTGAAGACTTAATGCGTGAAAACCATACTCAAAGACCACAAAAATTAAATGTATGTCAGATATGTAGTTACTTATTTAATTGGTCATTTTTTGTCGAAAGAAATTTAACGTCAGATAGTTGGTGTAAATGCTCGGCGATATTTAGATTAGATATTTACTGACCACTTTTTTATGCTTGGTACGTTCCACGACTGTTTGGGTTGTTTCTTCAAAATCTCCGAATGGTAAGGTGCATTATCTAAAATCATAACTGATGGTTCACTCAGACTAGGTAACGTTTCTCCTCAAGCCTTTAGCAAATATATCTGCATTCATGTTTTCCTGGTAATCAGCAGATTTTGGTTTTGAGGAAAAAAATCAAATCTGCGTTTTCTATAAACCCTTCTTTTCTTCTGCATGAAAATATGATATTGTGTTTTATGCTGTCGTCTTGCCAAATTATTTAATTGCCCTCTTTGCAAATATCTATGTCTTATCTAAGTATACGAATGTTGCTTTTTCAGATTTAAGTCTAGTATATTCTCTCAAACATTTAATTCTTTTGTGAACCAGACTACTCCTTTCCCGTCAGGTAAGTTAATACTTCTAGAATGTTCACGAGTGGTTTTTTTGTCTTAGTGATACTGTCACAGTAAGATCTTGAGAATCTCTGACAGTCCTTATTACAGTTTTTAGCTTACTTTCCACTTATCCCGAGTGCATTGACAAACGCGTTGATTTATACATAGTAATAATGACTTTAAATATCCTCCATTAAATATGACAGACACTTTCTAACTGTTGTGCTTGAGAGGTAAAATATAATATAACCGCATACAAAGATTCTAAACACATTAAGCAAATTAGCCTAATGATTATTAGGAATGCCGATTGTAATTTAATTACGATTGATAAAAAGTTTAGAGATAATTGGAAACTGATCTGTATTTCAGTATCTGGGCCCAGGATTACGTCTATTGCAGTTAAATTTGCGAGCCATAGAGCATCCAGGATACGCAGTAATTGGCATAGTTTACAGAATTTTAAATGTTATATATTGCATATTTTCCACATTCGCAAAACATGGTGTCTCCTGTCTTTCCGTTGCCGTCTGTTATCCTAAACCTATCTTCGACACACTCTTTGTAATTCCACTAATTTTCATCGTTTTAGTTCCCCTTCATTGTTTCAGGAGGCTGCCATTACAAAATATTTTTTGGTAATCGATAGTCTTTGATTCTTTATGCTTTTTCTCTAAGCTTTATTTAAATAGGTTTTAAAAACTGTTGGGAACACACATCAAACCACTCTTAAATCTTCATTTCCCATAAAATCCTTTGACTGCAGACTGCATAAAATTTTGATCTTTGACTGCAGATTATCATCATCATCATCATCATCCAGCCCCATTTTCACATCCATTGTTGGATATAGGCCTCCTCCAAACGTCTCCAGTTCTCTCGATCCCTAGCTGCTGCAATCCAGTTTGTCTCTATTCTCCTTAGGTCGTCGGTCAATCGGGTGGGTGGTCCACTGCAGATTATAGCGTTGATCTCCTTTCGCGATTTCTCTATCGCCATATCCCTGTGGTCCATCTACAAACTTCCAATCATCCTGCCTGTGGCCTATTTTGGTGTTTAGGTCTCCCATCAGTATAGAATGGCTCTGTTGGTGGTCACTATCACTGGTATCGCAGTGTTAACGTCGTCGTAAAACAATTCAACTCCTTCGTCTGTAGTAGCTGCGTATACCTGGATGATCTTTAATTGAATTTGTTCGTTTACTTTGTAGATAAGACTTTGGGTATCGCACTATATTAAAAATCTAGTTTACGTACACTTAAAATGATTCTGCATTTATTCATATCACTAACAAATTGTTAGTAACAATTTGCTATAGCTATCACAAAATAACAGTGAAGATATTTTCGTAGTAGATCTTTTAAAATAAGTTTTACTTAATAAACTGGTTTTTTAAGTTTTCTCACTAAATGTATTAACAACATACTTAACATCATCACCATTCAGTGTAATTATATATTAGAACAAAGATAGTTGCAACAGAGTTTTATTATTTAACGTTGGGGATATTGAAAATCAATCAGCCATATACATATGACATGTATATATTTTGTAAAATTACGTACTAGATATAAATAAGAGATAGATGAAATGCATATCACAAGCACATAATTTTTCACATATTGCCAGAATTCATAATTTGTCATAATATTCCGGGATTACTGTATTAGGCAACACAAATTACAATGCATTCTTAATATTAGTAATCATGAGAATTCTTGTAATGTGTTTTTGTTTTGTTTTCAATATCATATACAGTCCACAAATATTATATATATAATTTACTATTTTACTAATATATTGACAATGTTTGACACTCTGAAATGTTTTGTTTATTATTCTAGTTTTATGGTTGCTGATATGTATATGGCTGATTTCAGTATCACTGACTGATTTTAGTTTTGCCAAAGTTGTGTTATTTATTGTTTATTTTGACAACGGAGTTTTGCAGAAAATCATAATATATTTCTACTACTATGCTAGTGTAGCAAGTAATACAATGTACCACTCTGAATTTTGGTCCAGCCGTTGCCTGCATCTAACTAAAGATTAACAACGTAAACTAAAGTGGAAGCTTGACTTAACTCTTTTGGTACATACTTCAAAAGAAATTTTTCTATTATAGAGCAAAGAACAAATAGATTTCATTTAGATAAAAAGCCTTTTAGCCAAAGGAATACTGGTGAACCAGTTATGACCTGTGATATTTCGATTAGATTCAGATACTGGTTCAACTAAACGCAACAAAACTTCTTCGTCCGAGTTGATTACTTGGAAAGGATCTTCTGACTGCCGACCTACATAGGCTTTCAAATTCAAGGTTAAATCTTTAATAATGTCAGTTAAAGCAAATACTTTCAGACCGTATTTAGCCAGCTTACTCAATTGTTTAAAGCTGCATCTACCTATAAATGCAAGAAGTTGTTCGTCGACTGTGAGATACTCACTTGGTGAAAAGTGAGCTTAAAAATTGTTCAACAGAAATTCCAGCACATCTCTTATTAGTGCCAATTTGTTAATGGCTTTTCGCTTATCTCTATCAATAACACTGTGAAACCGTAAGC